GGGGGTGCAATGTGTTGATTTTTTTATACAATCTGACGTGCTTACATCAAACCAATCAACATAGCTTTCACCTCATTTACTTGATTATTGTGTTAAGACATTTATGTTCTACACTTGACAGATTTGACTTGTACCCTTGCAATATGCTCCATAGTCCCGCCTTTTACCCTCACTCCATGATACCTCCCCCCTTCCCATCCCATTTCTCTTCTTCATCCTGGGCTATAGTTGTGTTCTATCTTTCATAAGAAAGTGTAAGTAAATATAAGTTGGTTTCATAGAAGTACTGAGTACATTGGGTACTTTTCCCTCCATTCTTGAGATACTTTGCTCAGGAGAATATGTGCCAGGTCCCTCCATGTAAACATAAAAGAGATAAAGTCTCCATATTTTTTAAGGCTCCATATTTTTTAGTATTCCTTGGTATACATATATCATAATTTATTGATCTATTCTTGGGTTGATGGGCACTTGAGCTTCTTCCATGACTTGGCTATTATGAATTGAGCTGCAATGAATAATCTGTGCAAATATCTTTTTTGTAAAGTGATTTTTGGTCTTTTGGATATACTCCTGGTAGAGGAATTGCAAAGGCAGGTCAATTTTAGATCCCTGAGTGTTCTCCAAACTTCTTTCCAAAAGGAACGGATTAGCTTGCATTCCCACTAGCAGTGCAGAAGTATCCCCTTTTCTCCACATCCATGCCAGCATCTGTAGTTTTGGGATTTTATTATGTGAGCTACTCTTACTGGAGTTAGATGGTATCTCAAAGTGGTTTTGATTTGCATTTCTCTGATGATTAAAGATGATGAGCATTTTTTCATGTGTCTGTAGACCATGTGTCTGTCTTCTTTGGAGAAGCTTCTGTTCAGGTCTCTTGCCCATAGTGAAATGGGATCACTTGTTCTGTTCTTATTAATAAGTTTGAGTTCTCTGTGGATTCTGGTTATCAGACCTTTGTCAGAAACGTAAACTGCAAATATCCTCTCATTCTGAGGGCAGTCTACTTGCTTTACTTACTGTGTTCTTGGTAGTGCAGAAGATTTTTAGTTTGATCAGATCCCAGTAATATATTTTTGGTATCACTTCAATTGCCCTGTGGGTCCTCCTCATAAAGTTTTCTCCTAGGCCAATTTCTTCAAGTGTTTCCTCTGCACTCTAAGAATCTTTATGATCTTTTATCCTTTGAGAGTCAATTTTTGTTAGAGGTGAAAGGTGTGTGTCCAGTTTCAGTCTTCTACAAGTCACCAGCCAATTCACCCAGCCCCATTCGTTAAATAGGGAGTCTTTCCTCCAATTTAAGTTTTTGATAGGCTTATTGTAGATCAAATGATAAGTATCTGGATTCGTCTCTTGGTCTTCAATTCTGTTCCATACATCTACCTCTCTATTTTTGTGCCAATACCATGCCGTTTTGATCACTATAGATTTGTAGTATAGTCTGAAGTCTGGTAGCATGATTCCACCTGATTTGTTTTTATTCCAAAGGGATTTTTTAGCTTGGTCATGATTCTGCTAGTCTTTGAACACATTCACTCATGCTTTCTCAAGCACTTCTCACAAGATAATGTATTCTGAGTAGGAAAGGTTAAATAAATGACTAAAATGTGAGTTTTTTTCTTTGCTAAAAACCTTGAGGGATAAAAGTATTTTCAGAACACTACCCAAATTCTTTTATGAGATAATGCCCAATATCTATACAATTTACAAACATTCTCTCCTTTTTTAATGAGTCCTAATCTGGAGAGATCTATTCCTTAGCGTTGGGGTGTAGAGAGAAAGATTACAAGAGACACAGACCCCAAGGAGCAATATGGCAACTCAAAAAGAAAGCACGGCTTTCTGTGGGACAACCTGGCTTAAAAAATACCCTTCATTCCTGGTTTCTAGACTGGATTATTTCTGTTGTGATAACTTCTTTCATTACCATGGGACATAGCTTGGTTTACATCATAGAGTGACTGTGGCTACAGCTCAAATCTTCAGGGCAATCACCTGGTCCTTCACACATACTTTCACAAACTTCTTGCTGTATTTTATTGGACTTCAGGTTCGCAGGACTAGATTAGCCATTATTCTTTGTCATATGTGCTTATCATTGTTCCCACTGTCTGGAATTTAGGTTTTCAGCCTCAGATCTGAAACATGACCTTGCTCTTTACCTCCTGACACACCATGTTAATGACTAGCAATTTATAACGATGCTTATGTTTATCTTTGGAAAAACTAGTTTGGTCAATAGGGATTATTTCTTTGAAGATGAATAGAATACTGTTTCTTCAGTACCTGCTATAAGGTACCCATTTTTCTAAGGGCTTTGTAAGTAGTAGCTTAGCTTAACCACAACTATTTAGTATGAAGTAGTTATTATCCTTATTAAATAGATAAGAAAGCAGACTCAGGAAGGCTGGAGTAACTTGTCCAAAAGTTACATAATTTGTAAATGCCAGTGCCACGGGAAGTCCAGGGATCACTATTGTGGAAGTGCATGCGTATAGCCACGAATAAGCTTTTTCTCTAATTCCCACTCGCAGGATGCAATCTAGATGAGAAATACTGGATACATCCTATTTAGTTAACCTCAATCAAGCTAGTTCCCTGATAAAGATGACTCTAACAAAGCTAACTCTCTACTCCCAAGCAAAGTATCAAGCCATCATGGTCACAAGGTCAGGTTGTAAAGCTTTAAGGCCTTTAGCAGTACAAGAGAACATCTTTTGAAAAATAAGCTTTTACTGTGTAGGATAATTCCACATGGGTGCCAAATTGGCTATCTCACTGGATACTGTCTTGCTTAAATAGCAGGATTCTGTAACGACTTTAGGATCTATAAGAAAGTATACAGAACTTCTGATTAATAGTTACATGACACATCTATGTGATAAAAAGTGACCTGATCTATTTAATCATTTTTTATAATTTCCTAATTTTTTTTTACCATAAAGTCTCGTTAAAATCATTTACAGAGGTTGTATTTATTAAACCATAATTATTAGAGTCCAGTCAAGAAAGCAGTTCTTTATAAATTTACTTTATCAGAGACAGAATTTAATATGCATGTTTAAGGAGGTACTGGAAGATTGAAATGGTAAGAAAATAGGACCACTATGCAGAGACTTGTTAGGAATGAAAGTTTGAGTCACCTTCCACCAAAGAGAGAAATCTGAGTAGCTTAGATTCTGGGGCAAGGAGGGTGGAATGGGTAAAAGAGACACAGCTAAATAGCAAGCACAGCTATTTAGTGTAAAGTAGTATGTTGCGACTGCATAAATGATCACTTGAGACACGGACTGACAGTACACGCTGCAAGAGGTGAGGCTAACCATAGGTGCAGGATAGCACTGAACACTTCTCTCAGAGTCCTTTTATTGAGAAGATACATAATAGGTGGAGAGATTACTAAGCAAAGACATGCAGGGGCTGTATGCTTGGGGAAATGATCTCACAGGTGCCAACAGAGTATGTACTCAAGGTAATGATCTTCAAGGGTAGTAAGGAAATGATCTTTAAGATACTAAATGCAATTTTTCTCCACTAATCCTTTAAGGAACTGTCATAAAATGCTTGATATTTAACAATAGCCTTATTACTACAGGACTGAACTTTGTTCCTCCAAGATTACTGAGTTACTTGGTGGCTTGCCTTCCAAGTCACAAGAGATTTCCATGCTTGCCAGGAGAATGTCTTGTTCTCAGTAATTCCTCAGACGAGTTATGATATTGGTGACTGTTGTAGTTAAGTATGAGGTTTAATCCTCTATGGTAGTAATGTACTTTTGTCTCAAGTCAGTGTTATTAAGTATGAAAACATTTCTTCAGAATAAGAATGGCCATGTCAGGTTATGAATTCAATAGGTTAACTTTATTAGGTATTTTTGAAGAGCAGCCAGTATAGCACTATGAACACAGTATCTCAGAGTACTTACCTGTTTCAAGGCTTTACAATGTGGCATGCTGTCACAGTGGACCTTACAAGACTGGCCCCCTAAATAGGCGGCTGGTACAAATATCCAGCTAAAGAGGGGCATGGGAACTGAAGTAGACAGCATTTGGGCTGTGCTAATATTTGGTGCTAAGGTGGTTATGGAGCCTTGATTCTAAGGTAATCCATCCTGTTGAAATGGGCTCCTGTTACCAATTTGGGGTATAGAAGGCAGGGTCTAACCAGTAGAATGCCAAGTAAATGACATGTGCACCAGGGCTTAGATCCTGGGGAAAAATGTAACTTAAAGGATAGCAAGGAAAGCTGCTACTTCATGGACATGGGTAATCCAGGGTCTCACTAGGGAATACAAGGTAGTCTCAGAGGCACTCCAGCTCACCTCCCACATAAGATACCACCACCCTCTGCAGAGTATTGTCAGCTGGGTTCTTACTGGCTGAACAATGTGATTGGGCTGATCCTAAAAATACCAGGTCTTCAATACTGATCATTGAGGAGGGTTGGGGGGAAGGCCAAAGCAGGTCACACCTGTGGTCACAATGGCATCACTATGTCCTGATAGTGCTTCTCATGTTCATCTAATAGATATCAAATAATTTTTCTGAGAGTGGTATGATTTTACTGGGCTGGTCAGAAGGTATCTCTTAAGCTGTGTGGTTAAAGAAGTAACATAATAATTGAAAGGAAATAAGGGCTAGCAAATGTGAGAATTCTAGAAATCAGAAAATATGAAACTTTCCATTAGTTTTATTTTGGGGGTCTTACTTGAGGTATTTCAAAATTTCCAGGATTGAAATAATTTAAAAACAGAGACCTGAGAGATTTCTACATGTGGTCTATCTTAAATAAAGAGTAAGAGTGGAGAGTCATGGAATTTTTTACTCAGTGAGATGACCCACAGCGGTCTGACCATACTCAAAAGATTAAAAAACTCAGAAAAATCATGACAGTAATTCTACCTTCACAGTTTTTGGACAAATCAACCTTCAAATGCTATGGTTTGCTAAACTTTAATTTAAAAAAGTTACTTAAATTAAAGATAAATTCTGACAAATTTGTATAGTTTGCATCAGTAAGAAAGTTTATTGAAATCCATTAGTAAATGAACACAGAAAGGTTTTTTGTATTTTTTGTATTTTTTTTTTTGCCTTAAAGAACACTTCATGGTAAAGTGAGAAGAAGAAATACAGAAACCACAGAACACCTTTTAGACACCTTATTTTCAAGGACAGAACCTGTTCCTACAGGCCATTAAGACTGATGTGTCTTCCTGCCTGGAGACTCTGTTTTCCACATATCTGTATATAACAGCCCATGTGAAGGGAGACTCTTTCTTCTTTATGCAGCTTAATAGTAGTGTTTCTTGGTTTCTGATTCAACCATAGATGAAAGAACTCTACCATCAGGTGCCACCTCTTCAATAATAGTCTTGATTACTCTGGTTTTGTTAGTATCTGTGTGAATAATGAAAAAAGATATAATTTACACTAAAAAATTTACAATTTGTAGGGCTCCTTACTAATTAACAAGAAAATATCCTAAGAAAGAAAATTCAACTTTGTTTACTTTAAAAAAAGTCCCAAGCAGTGTTTAACGAATTGGTTCAGACAACGCGTTTTTCCTTTAAGACTGGCGCCGAGGACAATTTTTTAACAAATGCAAACGGAACCGTCTCTACGATTTTAATTTTTTAAACAGCGCCAGAGTTTTAAAAGCAACGCCACCAAGCACAGAGATTTAAAACTGATTCTGATTACCCCAGCTAGTTTCTGCTGACCTGGGTCCCTTAGAAGACTCGTTGCCGCCGGTGGAGCCACTGCCGCCGCCGTAGCC